GAAATTAGTTGTTGTTGTTGTTTTGCACCCCTCAGCAGCACAGTCAGCAGTTTGAACTCCATCAGAGGTTGTGACATGCAGCCCATTAAGGCCAATTCCCATCAGATCAAGCAAGCATGTTCCCATGCGACTACATTACACATTTTGGCTGAGGAAACATCAAGAAAGTTCCTGTAAAAGGATGTTTCTTTTCAAAAAGCAGGTTTCCAAAGACATGCAGCTTTGACATATTTCCAGTTGAATTGAATGCCTTAATATATTTTTTTAGCATCTTTGCATGTATTTGTATCCTTTATTTTTTTATTATTTTTTATTTTTTGGCGTGCGTGTGTGTGCGTGAGCGTGTGTGTGTGTGTGTGTGTGTGCTCATTTGTGATCATTCTGCATAATTCCTGCTAGAAAATCACTAAGAGAATATGTGGCTGAGGGGTCGATGTTGCAGGTGTCTGCCTGCTGATTTCACTTGTAGTTAGTTTGGATTTATCTTCTTTTTCCTTTTATTTGTCTCTTATTTTCAAAATAAATTGTTATTTACCACAAACAGCAGTAGGACCAAAGGGAGGAAGTAGCTGACCTTGCTTTTTTATTTTTTTTTTCCCCAGATGATCTGTCTCATTCTATACTGTGACAACAAAGTGACAGTTTGAACAAAAATGTTATATTATTTTTTGTATATAAAAGTTACCTACTCCACCCTCGATGCTTTCTGTACCTAGACAAATCAAAATGTTCAAGAGAATGCAATGCAGCAACCAGGAAATCAGTAACAATCTCATACTGATTGTTAAAAAAAAATCTGCAGTTTGTGGCTTTCAAGAGTTGTTTTTAATAATATATTTGTAAGAATAAAGGAGAGGCAGGTCAGTCAACATGTCCGACAATTTGAAGTTTTCCTTCAATCAAAATAAAAGTATTTTGAAACACTGTGATGGAAATAAAGCTTTAAATATTAGTCTATGTCTGCACTTTCTGTAGAGTAAGTGGATCCCTACATGTAGTAACATTCCATGAGAGACAGTTTTAATCTCTTTAAAAGATAAAATAGGACAACTTTGCTGCAGGACATTGAATTTCCTATTCTGTGCTGATGTTTCACTCTCATATGGCAGCCTGAAGGAACTCGAGCATGTTTGAGTGATGCAGCTTCTTTTCTAGGAGCTTTTACAAGCTTTTGTGCTTTCCCTGACTTTACTTGCACACAGTTCACTGATGATGAAAATTACTGAGTGTTCTTCACTCTGTAACAACAGGAACTCAAGACGATTATTGTTGGCTGCCAATCCTTTTAGCACATTGGCAGGTATGGTGCATTCACTGACTGGGGCACCAATGAAGCATATAATCTAGTGAATGTTATTACCAGTGGATGTATCTGTGCATCTAAAATTTCTATGGATTTCCATCTTTTTTAAACATCTATCCTCCTTTTCTGTGTGTGTTTGAAGTTTACACAGTATATGCCAGTCAGTTTTGTCTGTGTTGTGATCCTTGATTTTCTCTTCAGATGTCTACAGTCCCATTTGGCTTCTGAAAAGTCGCCATGGTTATTGCAATGCTTTTGATTGTTGAAATTAACATACTTTCACAATTTTACTCATGAGTATAATTTTAATCTTTTTCTTCTTTTTTGATTAGGTATTCAGAGTTCATTACACAACAAAAAAACTTGATTAACAGATAGAAGTGGTGCACAGGCTTCAAATAGCATTGCATGGTGTTAATTGCATTTTATTTTCTTTTATGATTTTGTCAAAGAGAAGAAGGGCTTCCTTTTTCATCTGCACACACTGCAGTAAAGCTGCAGCACCACAAGATTGTGTCATCTCTAATTACAAAGATGTGAATAATTTGTTTTTTGAAATTAATTTGCCTGGTAAGTGTTACTGATGGTAGTACGTCTGAGCACAATGAGTGGCAAATCAAACAAATCACCTGTTAAACAGCCCCAGTTTAGCAATTCCAATTATGTTGCTGAAATAGCAGCATATTTGTAAAGGAGAAGCAGTGCTGATATTCATGATGCCAACAATAAGTGGGAGACAAATGTACTGTGTGTGCCCATTAATTGTATTTTTATTTCCCAGAATATAACAACATTAAACAGTGTGACAGGGGTCCAATTGTCACCTAATTTAGCAGAAGATCCTCAGTAAATGGTAATGGTCTGTTTTATTAAGAAGCAGACTTACTCTGCAGAATGTTACATTTGGTTAAGTCAGCTACTCTACATAATATATAACAATCGATGTATTTGCATGTAAAACCACACCAAAAACACAATGCATTGTGCCATCGTGGAAGATTACTTTTGATTTCTTGAAATAGAAATTAAATGGTTTTCCATTAATTAAGCATTTCTCTGTTTCAATATGCATCTTTCTCAATTTTATGCATTTATTTATTTATTCAAGTTCAATTTTTTTCTTTGAAAATCATCTCAGAGTATCATTGGTGATGTTCCTGCATGAATAAATGTCAGAGGTGGTTTCAATTTAGTAAGGCAAATATCTGCTTATCACTGCATCAAACTGATCATATTATTCATACCGAAAATCAGGAAATGACACTTCGATGAAAGATAATTAGCACAACTACAAGATAAAAAAATCTGTTGCACTTGCTCAGCTAACTTGTGCATATTCACTTGTAACATTTCTATTCTCTGTGGCTGTAGTTGGGGACTATTGACATTGGAATGCAGAACAATAAGTAGTGTTAAACAAACATCAGATTTGCATTCATTCTCAGGAAACCGTACCCTTCAGTGAAGGTTCAGGGACAGTCCAGCTGAGAAAGGGACATATATAGTGATAAGACACTATTTGTATGTAAATGAATCAGGCAAAGAAATTTCAAGTAGTCTCCAAACAGTTGAAGTTGAAGCAGGAAGCTGTTCAGAGAAAAGCTGCATAATGTTAAAATTCAGAGTTATAAATTCATGTAATTTTACATATATATTATAATTGATATACGTACATTGTTAAAAATAACTGAAGGAATGACCAACATGAAGTGAAATGCAGCAAGTAAATGAATGTTGACATACTGGGTAAAACATGAATCAACAGTTAAATACAAATAAATGAATTCATCCAGTCATTATGTTTCGGGTTAAAGTTGGAGCTTTATTTCTGGGTAGAATCCGGGTGTTTGGATCTTTTTCCAGGAAAAAAAAAGGACTTTTCCTATTTACTGCATAACAAAAATAATTAAAGTAACCAAACCTTGACTGGAAAACTCCCAAGGTTCCAGTCTAAGAATAACATTAATTGATGTGTTCAAGTTTATTATCCTCTTTCCAATGTTCCACCTCCAAAATATTTGGTTAAATACAATGAAATGGACAAAAAGTGCAGTACATTGCTCTAAAGAAGCAAAAATCTTAAAATGTTTTTTTTCTGTTTGACAACTGGTCTCTTCTGCTAATGTTTACTCATCTGCCTGACATACTGATTGAAGCTGATTTAAAAAGACTAAAAGATGAAGCTGCAAAGAGTAAACATACGAACACAAAGCCTGTTTCATCTGCATTCAAAACAGCAAAACAGCTGCAAGTCACCTTGAAAGAAACTGTTTTGTAATAAAAGTTTGCAGTCTTTGCTGTGGAAAAAAGAAAAAGCTTAAATGAGCTAAACTCTGTCGGTTGCTTGACTTCCACTCGATCAGAAAACGTGTTTAATGGCTGTTTTTGTCTTGCCATTTTTATTTTAATGTAATCTCCTCCAAAGAGGGTTTCGCCTGACCACTGGTCAGTTGATTACCTTATGTCACTCATTACAGATGTGTTTCAGATTTTAATGGTGGACTCACTCTGTTCTTCTGTTCTACAGAATTTTATTTACAGTCCTTTCTTGGTAGTTGCAGTTATTCTATTTTTTTTCCCCTTTCCCTTTTCATATCCTTTTCTATTTTCTTGAAGTTAATGGACTTTACATCACATTGATTTGTACTAAAGAGTTAGATATCCTCGAGCATCTGGCTAATGGGCCCTTCTAGAAATCTTGATTGGAACAGCAAATGGAAGATTTGAGTGCAAAGAGGTGTCAAGGTTAGCCTTTAATTTTGAATTTGTTTTGGTGTTTTTCCTTCATTTATTTGTGTTTAGAGGAGTTTTTGTTCCCCTGCAGAAACATTAGAGTAGTTTGCACATTTACGGGGTGCACTGATCTGAAATCTAATGCTTCTCTGTCTTGTTAAATGCTTTCCGAGAAATATGTCTCTGCACGAGGTAAGATATTTGGTGGACAGAACTTCTTTCTGTTTTGCTGTTTCTGAGTCTGCATTCTGACTCATTCATGCATGATTGCTATTACTGTCTGCTTGTTTTTTGTTCCACTGCAGTAGTCTAACATGTTTGTTACTCATCCTCTCCTCACTTGGTATAGTGGTGTGAATGCCTTTATCATTTAAATTCCATATGCTGAATTCAGTTTTGCAAAACAAAATGGATTCTTACCTTGATGAAGCAATATAAGTTTGCTTTTATCACAGCTGGATCTTACAGTGAGAGAGTTTTCAGGCCTTCGATAAGCTCAAAAAATAAAAAGAAGCTTGAATAAAAAAAATGGGTTCATACTTTTTCTGAGAAGTCCTGAAAATAGTGAAAAGGTAAGAAATAGATTTTTTTGTTTTTGTTTTTCAGGTCTGAAAATTGATCAATTTGCATATTTCTTTTTTAGTCCATGTCCTCCTTTATGAGTGTGCACACCCATCCTTCCATGCTGCAACCTCTTTAATTTGTGTTTTTTGCATATTGTGTATCCAAAACCTTTGGAAAAAAATTGCTCATGAACTCTGAAGAGAACAGCAATATTATATACACCATGGAAAATGAGAAAAATAAACCATTTTCATTTCTGTTGGAACCTCATCTATATCATTTACTGTTTTAAAAGTTTGGAGCTTTGCTGTACCTTCTTTTTCTAAAACACTTTTTCTTGTTCTGTTTAAGATTTTGTGGTGATTTTTATAACACTCTCTTTTGTTTGCTTTTTGTACAGTTGATCAGAGTTTGTTTGAGAACTCCATTGCCCAGAAGCAGAGCCCTCAGACCTCCAGAACAGGTCAGCACTCTACCCGATCCCTCTCAGCATCAGCTAATTCCAATTCTGGCTCCACCTTCATCGACTCTCCATCCTCTGGAGGACAGCAAAGGCTGAAAAATGCCATTAACCTGGGCAAGGCAGTTGGGGCAAAGGTCAGTGCATCATAAGCTGATTTGTAGCAAAAACCTCTGCGGGTTATCAAAAAGATAACTTATCTTCCTCCAAAGCTGAGAATTTTCTTTTCCATAAGGTCAACGACCTGCTGAGAAGAAAGGAGCCAAGCCACCTTGGAGACATCGGCGTCACTGAGGTCAACAAGAATGTTGGTGCAGTTTGGAGCTGCATGGACAAACTTGGCCACAATTCTGCCAGCAGGTGAGTAAATATGCATTCACTCACAAAAATGATCAGTTGTATCAATTCAATTTAGATTTGTATATAGTTAGGGGTTCTAAAAATGATAAAGGACTTGTTTATGTTTCATTGTTTAAAATGTAGACAGCTACCCATGTAGCACTGCATGATGAAAGATTTAGCAGATGAGCAACTATAGGATTTCTTACAGCAGGTGAATTGCATCACAAACTTCCAGTACAGGTTTAGTCCAACAATGAATTAAAAGCTCTGATGTTGGCACTCAAACAGGAGAAATTGGGAAGATGTGACTGCATATTGCTGGAAATAAGAAGACAATATTTGGACACTTAGCTTAGCTTCTAAAATTGGTCATCTTTATCCTGTATCTCTTTCAAGCAAAAGGTTGGTAAAAAATAATTTGATAAGATGGAGAACAATGCAAAAAAGAGAGGAAAAAAAAGCAGTCACTGCTTTTTTTAATAACTAGCAGTGACTGAGCTAATACTTGTAATTGTTCACAGGAGTGAGGTTTTTATGGATATCACAGACTTTTGTGCAGAGTGATCAATAATTATTAGTTCAATTTTACTTTTCAAGGCTTGTCATTATGGCACAGTGCCAAAATCTAAAACCCTTTTTGAGAGGGGAAATCTAACCTCCGATATCAGCACAGCTATTCTTCACATTGAGGATTTTGGACAGTGGGACGTTTCAGTTAAAGCTCATGGACTCCTATGGAATGACACCTTTGGAGTATTCTAGGAATGATGGGTTGACCTTGGACTGGCTAGAGGATTTATTTCTACATGCCAAATGATAAGCAAGTCATTTTGTCTTGTGTAGTTGTGCACAATATTGTACTGGACAGTCAGGTGTAATTTGATGCTCTGTTGCTTGATGCACCGCTATGAGTCAGAGGGAGACAGCATGTCTATTATATGACTTATATTCAGCAAATAGTATAAGTTAAATCATAATATTTGCAGACACTTTATTCATGTAAAGAATGGCATTACTGTTTGACTTTTAGTGCGTCTGTTGTCTTGCTCTTTGAAAATGTGTTTTCTGCTGTTTTATTTGTATATTTTTCAAATGGTTTGTGGGTAGTGCCACTGCAACAATGAATTAAGGGGTTTGTTGATTATCTCTGACAATTATTTCTTGCTGCCAAATACATCAACACCTGTTTGTTTGGAAACTGGGATTAGCCAAAAGACACATGGTTTCATAAATCACACATGGAACTTGTCCTCCTACCATTTCTGACCCCAGATGTATTCCAGGTTTTTGATAAATGAGACTCAAAAAGTGTAAACAGAACACAATCGTCTGCTTCGTTTGCTAACACGTCCTGTTGTTTGAGTTTTCCAGTTCATATCCCCATTTCATTTTCTGGTACTTCAATTTTGCACCTGTAAGAAAAGATTTTAGTGCCCAAATCTAAACCATGATGTATCAGGGCTATTTTTGTTGCTACGCATTTTCCTGCATTACTATGATAAACAGTTTCAATAATTCTAATGAAATTTATGATTTAAATAAATTATTCATTTATGATTACATTGCACTGTAATCCAATGCATGATGGCTATTAGTCCAACTTAGACTTGTCAACTTTTATTTAAAAAAAAAAAAAAAGACAAGTAATCTCTTATTAAAACAAATAAAAATCTTAATAATGCTGCTGGTAGATATTTACTATATTCATGCAAGCACATTTCCCTACAGCAGGCCATGAGTAAAAGTTACAGTGCGAACTTTGATTTGAAACCTTGTCAAAGTAGGTGGAAAATGTCTCCATGGCTGGCAAGAGAAGAAGCCGTCATTTTAACTGCTGTGATAAATGGGCAAAATCATCAGCTTCTGACTGTTCTAACTTCTCTACCACACATTTACTTGAAAATGAATCAATATTATCCCCCAGTAGGTTAAACCCTCTCAACAGAGAAGAAGCAGAAAATAATTCCACTCTAATTAGTATATTTTAAACGTTTTATAACAGTTTATTTCTTTGTGTTTGATTTATTCAAATGTTCAATTTATTTCACAACTCAAATTGTCCAAATGCAACAGCTCCTTTCTTGTTGACAGAAGAAATAACACAACCATGTGTTTTTAATGGTGATGAAATGATGTGTAGTAGCAGCGTCTGTGTAAATGATGTGTAGTAGCAGCGTCTTCCTCTTTGTCGTTCTGATATTGATTGTGTGATGGAGGACTTGTATCCTTGATGAAAGCAGAGGGTGTGTTGCTCTCGCTGATCTGCTCCAGAACAGTTTGTCGGCGACGTCTCGAGACAGTGGAGAGGAGCCACTCCCTCAACCCAGCAGCAGAACCAGATCCAGGACGATCAGGATGAGCAGCCATGTGCTGCGACCAGCTGGTGGCTGATCGAGAAGTGATTTACACTGATAACACAAAAGTATAGAGAAGAGAGTTTTTTTTTCTATGGAAAAGGAACAGAGAGAATGCAAAGAAAATGTTTGGAAAATTTGGTTTAAAATGTGTACATGGAGAGCGCTAAATTACTTCATCTTGTTAAGGTTTGCAGATGTCTGAACCTTCAGACATCTGAGATTTATTTTATTCTTCAGAGGTCTTTATTATGTTAATTTAGTTTGCTGTATACTCTGGGCTTTGATTATCTGTGATACAGTCATCACAATGTTGGTTGAAAGAGAAAGTAGTCCATTTGTTCTAACCCCTCTGGCACACAACAAGCTGTCATTTACAAGCAGAAGAAAGTTTAAAGTCTTAATTATAGGGCAGGAGTTGGGTTTTCAGTCAGCTGCACTGAAGCAGCACGAAAGCTTTAAATGGTTGTAATTCGGTGTAAAGTTATTCAAGCATGATGGTGGTGTTTTTCCAATTCTCACATTTTTCATATATTTTTAGTAGGTCTGTAGGAAAGAATAAAAGAAAGCACCAGATTAAAACCTGAAACCTGTACTGGATATTCTACAACAGTAAATCATTTTACTATATTATATTTTAACAGTTTCAGCTTTTGTAGTAAAACCTGGTCCATTAGCTCCTGAGATTAATCCCTTCTTCCCTCTCCTCTTTCCCAGCAGCATGTTTGACTCCTTTCCTCGCCTTGACCCACCGCCACCAACAGGAAAGAAACGCGTCCCTCGAGCTCTGAAGACCACCCAGGACATGATGATCTCCTCTGACCCTGTGGTCGCCTCGCCAGAGCCGGCAGATTCTCCCCCCTTCCTGCCCTCCCCTGAAGAAACATCTCAGGGCCCCAACGAAGAGAGGAAGAGTGAGAAAACGCTACCAGGAGGCAGTGAGGAGCAGGAGGAGAGGTTGACAGAAATCACAGAGCCTCCCAGTCTGGTGGAGAACAAAGCTGATTCAGAGACAGAGGAGACCAAATCCACGACTGATGAAGTCAACGATGGGGAGGAGGAAAAAGGGAGCCCAGAAGGAGGTGAGGAGGAACATCGACACCAGCTTCAGCTCTCTGTCCCAGACCTCATCAACAAGGATCCTCCTCCGGAGTCCCGAGCCAAACCCTGCGACGTCTGGCAGAGGGCATCCTCGCCAGACTCCCGCCTCGCCTCCTCTCCGATTTTGGGCAAGGCACCCTGCCGCATCAGCCTGGGGGAGGAGGTCCTGCTTGGTAACGGCGCCCCCTGCAGTAAAGGCTCAGGTGGAGGCACTGAGGAGACAGAGTCTCATCCAGACCTGCTGTCCTTTGAGTAACTCAAATTTTTACTGTGGCTTTTAAATGGATCACCCACCCTGCTTTAATTTAGGACAAAGGGAAGAGATGCTTTTCAGAAGCAAGGCAGGCTTGAAGACCTGCTGCTTTTCAAACTTTAGATCAGCTTTTTAAACAGTTTCTTCACTGGTTTGAGGTCAGTCAGACTACATAGGTTATATATTTTACGCATAAAAATACACAGGAAAAGGCTGGCAAATTACATAATAAAAAGTGATGCAATTTGCCATCATTTTTGGCTCACAATGCAAAAATAACAGAGTAAAAAACAAAGGTCTTTATTTTATTGCAGTTTTAGTTTTAAGAATAATAAAGTAAAGAAAACAATGTTCATATTCAATTAATTGTTGTTGTAACTTTGGCCTTTAAAAGTTTCCTGTCTCCTTTAACAATGTAATGACAACCTGATTATGTATTAATGAATGTATTTAGTGTGGTGACCTTCCCTTTTAAATGGGTTAAAGATATATAGATATGAACAAAACCTTAAAATCCATGCATAAAAGGGTTTATTTTTTAAGTGTGTTGCTAAGCTGCTGCATTAAAGCCAGTTAAAAACTGCAAAAAGTATATATGTTAAATAGAAATATATATTTTACATTTCGTAATTTCAGACTACATGGAAAAGGTTTTGTGTTTTTTTCCTGACTGCTGCAGTTGTTTGTAGCAGTCAGGAAAACGATCAGAAAAACCAAACAGGAAGTGAAAATTAAAGGCTTAAAAGGATGTGTTTGAGATTGAACAGGTAGGGTGAAAATCACTGTCACCGCACGACTGCAACCTCCAGCTTATAAAAAACAATCATTCTGAATCAAAGTTGTTTTTTTAACTCCACTTCAGAATGATTTAACTCACCAAAAGAAGCTTTTTGTGTGAGTTCTGTGCTGAAGTTGGCTTTTCTCAGAAATTGATCAGTAACACAGAGTTAGTTATTTTCAAAACTTGTGCAAATCAACCTGTAGCAGGGGTGTCCAAAGTGTTGCCTGTGGGCACAAATGATTGTGTGCAGCCCATGTCCATCGTTGAACAATGATACAAATTATGACTTTTTTTTTTTTGAAAAAAATCAAGCTAAGATTTTTTGAAATTATAAACCTTTTTTGAGCGGGGCAAACTTGCAAAATTTGACTTCTTTGTTTTCAGGAAAATAGTGTTTGTTTTAATGTTAAGCAGGTAAACGTTTTTTTTTAATTTCACAATAAAACTTTTTGCCTGTAAAAACATTGTAATATTTTCAACCAGGTGCTTTTGGCCCACATGGCAAACAGTTTGGACAGCACTGTTCTAATGGATCCAGCACTGAGAAGAATTTTAATTACAAATTGTTGTGTTTTGTTCCTGGATTCTGCCACAAACCAGACTGAATATGTGAAGTTGTATAGAAATCTCACTCGTCTTTTAAAAACAATATTAAATCACCAATGCCTTAATCTGTTAAATATACATCCTCTAAACATACCATAAATAAGATGACTATTTTTAGGACGAAAACAAATTCAACATATTTGACCGTATGAGCTAAAATATAAGCTATAATGGAACAAAAGGCTGAAGAATGAGCATAAATTGAAGTAATTACCGGTCTGTGCAGCTAAGATGTGCAAAGATAGGTTCTTCCACATATTAGCTGTTCAGGCTATAAATCTGTTTTCTTCCTTCCACCCCCAATAAATGAATTAGCCATCAATACTTTAATGAGAAACGGATCAGTTTGGAGTGCCTCTCTCCAGAAACAAACGATTGAAAGGTTGCTTCCGTGCTCGGACCTGAAAGGTGCGTGACTTGACATTAAATCACCCTACAGATGGAGACGGGACTGAAAGATGTCTGAATGGAGTGTTTTTGGAAAACTGATGAGGGGTTTCTGAGCTAAAGAGAGGGCAAGGTAATGAGCTGTCAACAGGAAGGGATGAAAGAGGTCTCGTTTTTTATTCAAGCGGATCCAAAAGTGACAGACCAAAGACGGAAATTAACAGCTCAGTCAGACAGGTTGTTTTATCACTTTTTCTTTACTTGTCAGAGGAGGAAAAAAGCAATAAATCGGAGGAGTATTTTTTGTTGTTGTTGCTTAAAAAGATGAAAGCCAAAGTGTGAACTTTTCAACCATTTCTTTGTAGTTGACGTCTGTATCTTTATTCTTCAAAAGGCAGATGCTGACTCAGGTGCTTGTTACACATGAGCTGGCACTGAGAGAAATTATCAAGCCTTAATTCACACCTGTTTGTCCAAACAGGTAAATCGCGGTCTGGTTGCCGTGGTTACTTTAACACAAATCAAGCACTAAGAAGGAGAAACCTGTAATTTTCTAACCTTGCATTCTGAAGACGTTTGGCAAATTTCTGCTTCTGGGTTTTGAGGCCTATTTGTTTAACACCTGGAAATGTAATTTTTTAAAGCAGAGAACTAAAGTGCAGAATGCCATGAATTTCCCAGAAGAAGCTGAGACCAAAAGCTGAGAATGAGATGAATGTGTAGCTCATGCTTATGAGGAAAAAAGGAAGCTTTGTCTTAGTTTTTTTCCTTTTTTTTTTTGTCTGAATGTGTCTGAGGCACTGAACTGTAACCAAGCAGCTGAGGCCTCCTCTGCGGTTCTGAATCATGTTCCTTTTTTTTTTTTTTCAGGGAAATTACTCAGAGTTGCAGATGTTTGAGTAGAAAGCACTCCAAAAAAGGAGAGATATTTTTATACATATCTAAAAAGAAAAAAAGCTTTAAAGTTACAGGCAGCTGAGCCTTTGGATATGCAAATACCATCTTGGGTTTCTGACCATTGCCTGTAGGGATGCACTACATGCACAAATCGTAATAAGTACCTTATTTTTCATTGCAGAATAACACAAACTTTCTTGTAATATTTGAAGTGGTTGTGATCTGTAGTTTCGAGGATTCTGAACATTTTTCTATTTGAACTTTTTTCAGTCAACATTACCCTATTTACCAACGCCAATAAATGATACAGACTTAAAAAGGTTGTTAACGTCAAGCGATAACCCAGCGGTGTGTTGACGGGGCTTTTTCTTACCTGCCATAAATACAAAATTGCTTCCTATCAATTAACTGAATTTAAACTTTGATCCATTTTGGTTGTCATGGATCTTTTTTTCTTTTTTTTTTCAATAATTTTTTGTCTTCTTCTGCTTTGGATTATACCTGACAACAACAGCTAAAATATCTTCAGTTAGAGTGATTTTGCATGTTATCAAGTCGGATCTCTTCGCGGTAACATCCAGTCAGTATTTCCACCTCACAGTGAGCCTCTCTACTTAGTCATATCTATTTTAGCTATGTGGAAAAACCTCAATGTGGGGAGCAGCTAGCCAATTAAATGTGGTTTGCATCACAAGCTCCATCCTGAAGGTTAAGGGAAGTATAAAGTCATTCAGGGTTTCTGTGCAGTGTTGATATTTATACAATTTACTATTAGCATCTTTAGAATCTGCATATAAAAAAATATAACTGAGAATGTAGATGCATCTTTCCATACTTAGATATGTTTTTTTATTCGTAATAAATGTGTGAACGCCAGTAATGGCTGCACCATTTCAAGATCATGAATTGACTATTTCATTATTTTGACATATGACATGTTTTTTAATAATAATAATTGTCATGCAATACTTAGTAATGCATCAGTCTTGGATCAGGTTTTTTCCATCCTGAGCCATTTGAGCGCATCACTCTAATTTGAATGTTATTTTGAGAACAACTGTTATCATAACAAAACCAGTTTGACGTTTAATTTTCTTCAGATAAGTCGATTAAATTATAATCCTAAGAAACTAAAGCTATCCTTTCTTGAGATAATAACCAAAATAAACTGTTGTGACAGGTTAAACTAACATCTTGTCATCTTAATATGACTTAATTTTATGACAAAAGGTCTATCAAACATAAAACACTTTAAATATATTTGACAATTTAGAGTTTCATAATTTCAAGATAATGATAAGTAATCAAAATAAATCCATAACATTCTGTAATGTCAAGATAATGATAGGTAATCAAAATAAGTTCATAGCATTCCATAATTTTAAGATAATGAGAGGTAATCAAAATAAGTTCATAGCATTCCATAATTTCACGATAATGAGAGGTAATCAAAATACGTTCATAACATTCCGTCTTAAGTTACTGACTGAAAACCAGCCAACCCACGCACATTTACAGTATATGAACTTTTCCAAACTTCCATGGGTTTGCACTTCACAGTTACTAGTTATATCACAATACATACTTCTGCTGCTTCAAATACCTGGAACACATTGATACAAAACCTCAGTCACTTAACAAAATAATCAAAATCAGATGCAATGTTAGATCTGAAAGGTCATGACATTCAAACAGATGCGTCTGGACAAGGGCGATAGTTTAGAACCATAAATTGTGTAGGAACCACCTGGGCCGATTAGGGGGTTCAATTTCCACATCTATTATTTTTTAGCCTCACAATATGCAATACACTGCCATAGATGAGGGGAAAAAAACTGATTAGAATGAAAATTACTAGAGTGAAAGAGCGAAAAGAAATAAAATCCTGGAGAGGCTTTTTGAAGATACAAGTAAGTTTGTAAGCAATATGTTGAAAAATAAGCCAAGGTTAGTTAATTTTACAAATACCAGCTGAATAATGTATATAATGAGTATATGAATAGCAAGAGAACATCAATAAAAACATAATAAGCAGAATACTAAAGTGTTTGTGAATTCTCCGAGTTGAAATTAGAGACTGAGCCCTAAGCGTGATTTTAGTGAGAGCTTATTTAAAAACAGTACTTTTTCTGGGACGCTTGCATTTCCTCTTCTGTATCTTCCCTATTTAAAAAAACAAAAAAATATGTTAATTTCTTTATAATATCACAAGATTGCTGTTATGCTTAATTCTCATTTCATAAAATTACCAAATGATTGTCTGACGTTTGTGTTGCAGTATGTTTTTATGCCCATTTGGATCTGAAAAAGAAAAACAAATTTCTTGTGATTTTCTTGGCTAAGATGACTAGTATAAATAACACACTAACATAATCAACTAAAGATGAGGGCAAAATGACACTACATAGGTGTTTAACAGACCTGAACTCTGTTTCTTTTTGGAAATAGTGAATTCTTTGAAGACATCAAGCATTCTGCATTTTTCTTGAGTCTGTAAACCACTAACTTTATCGTTTTTGTTGAAGGAACAGTAATGTACAATTTTTATCAAAAGTTTCCTAACAACAAATGAAGGAGTTATAGAATGTAGCATTTATTTAGTTATTTACTTTGTTTTTTTTATGTTGAAATTTTATGTTTTTGTCTCTGCAAAGCCGATCTGCATAATTCCAGTTTTTATTGGTGAATGAAGGACACTCGGCGTAACACATGGACTTTTTAATTCCAAGGGACTGTTGAATGTCAAAAAGAAGCTTCCGATTTTTTATCTTTCAACTGTTGCTAATTAAGTAAATTTTTTTATCAACCAAAAGATGAAACGGATCATTTCTACCTTGTATTCTCCCACTATACTTGTAATACAGAGGAGACATAATAATTTCCTACAATCACTGTAATCTTATAAATTTTGATTTAACCATGAAGTCATTGTCTTATCTGATTGTGTCCTTTTTGACATCAAATGAGTTTTTTCCCCTCATACTCTTTTAAATCCTATTTAATTCACTTAAGATAACATCGGAGTGTAAAACAATAAAATAGTTACCATGACCTGATTGTGTAAGCAAAATCTTTATTGAACCTTTTGATTTAATTTAATCTATGATTCTTTCTAACATCTGCCATGAGTTACAGTAAATCTGATCAACCAGAAATAAAGCTCAACTGTCCAAGGTAATAACAATTTTCTCCAGACATTTATTTTGTGCAGTCATCTTCCTTCTCATGGCAGGAAATTCATCCAGTAGCTGTGCTGCATTTCTAATACTTTCACGTCACACCAAACTGCAACCAGGCCACAGAACAGATGGCAGACAAAAGTTTTATGTGGTGCTCATAAAATATCACACAATCTCAAAAACAGACACAAACCAGAAATTGCATGACAATTGTCACATTATATCAGGGAAAGGTTTTGTAACAATTTTTATGATCTCGTTTATGTCACCAAAATCTGTCATTTTAGGAACATCAACTCTGCTTGCACATTTCCTGTTATGACGAAAGCTCTGAGCACCAAACTCTGCCACTCTTTAACACAGATAGCTCCTTGTCTGATGTGTCTCCATTTTGTTTCTTTTTTTATATGTTCAAACTCGCCAAGAGATTCAGAAACTGACAGTGTCCTGATGTTTAATTCATCTGTTTGTCCTAATTCGTGGAAATCCCGCTCTTCCTCTTGGCACATGTCGCTGGCCCTCTTACTCTGCCGAAATGAGTTTGGAGCCCTACGGGGAGTGAAGAAGGGATGCAGATGATTGCAAGATAAGAAGCTTTATTTACCTCCCTGCAACATTAGAGCTGTAAACAACCAATCAGGTCTTGTCTCTTGTTTAATGACTCAAACATGATGCAAATATTGATTCTCTACAAAGGAATCTGGGCCTCTATGCATAATGAATATCAAGTATTAGCTGAAAAGCTGATGTTTATACATCTTTGTTTGTCTTGAAATTATTTTCTGGGATAATTCATACAAACAAGTGCTCTGTAGTACAAACAGTAAGCGCTAATGTCCATTGCAAATTAAAAGTTTTCAAGTACAATAACTATATATCCAAAAATGTTGAAAGTTTCAACAGAGGTTGACAAAAACATGTTAAGATTCAGCAAATGGAGATGTAAATCATAATGTGATTGTTGTTTTTCCTTTCTAATTCTTGTGCTAAATTGTTAGAATCTGGGAATTTTATTCTGTTGGGTATTTTAAAAACATCACAGCAGTTCAGCCTTTCAGAAAATCAAATGCATCTCTTCAGACATGTTCTGATGCAACAGAGCTATGAGTGAAGCCTTTCGTACATGAAATTTAAGACTAGCTAATCCTTGAGATTTAATCTGGTTTCCAAAACAAACTAATCCCCACCATAGGTTTGCAAACTCATTCTATTCTCACCTGGGTTTTATCATGTGAATAAATTTTGATCCTGTAGTTGTATTACTGAAGCAGACAAGGGCACAGATAAGTGGTTTTTCATCTCTCTCACAGCAATCTCGACCTGCATGTCTGCCAGCACATTAATCAATGCCAGTTGGCAGGATTGAGTTATCAGGTTTATTGATCTGCATGGTGTTTCTGTCTGTTTGTACGGACAGATTAAGACAACCCAAAGACACTCAGTTTTGCACCATGAATTCCTAAAACATCGACAACCGGCAAGGAAAACTTGAATCTAATCAGATGCTACTGCTTATCAATAAAAACAGTGCATATGGAGAACTTCAGTTGTTTCCAGTGGACTAATCTATTGATTGAAAAAAAAGAGCAGCAAGAAAGTCTTTTGCCAGATTAAAGATGTCAAACTTTGAATATATTTATATTTTCTGCTGAAAGAAAATATTCATATCTTTGAATTATTAGAAGTGAAAGTTCCTTCAGAGTGTAAATCGGGTTTTTCCAAATATTTTGCACCAAGTTTTTTTTTTCTTATTCCCAATTCTGATTTAGAAATGTTCCTGTATTTTTACACAATGCATTGTGAGGACTGTTTATTCCTTCCAGCACTGGCAGGCGCAGTCATCAGGAATGAATCCACTCACAGGATGAGTTTTATTCCCCATGCATTAGGATCGCTAGACTCTCACAATCACCTTTTTGAATGCACAGTTGAAGCTTTTAGAACTTCTTTACACTAGTCTTCTGTGTTAAGATGGCTTCCCTTTTTATGATGTCTATGCACCTATTTTAGCCAAAATTTATGAGAAATTTATTTCAGCATTTTTTTTACCTGGAACAAGTGAGTGGTTAATTCATACAAACAAGTGTGAATTTGATTTAAGTGTGTCGCCTCATACTTTTATCTTTCCATAGTAATTTATTCTTTTTGTGACATTTTGCAAATAATATTTCATACACTAAGCCATGCCCACCCTCTTGTGGCTATTTTTGGTATACATAGTTATATATGTTCATGTTTACTGTTTAATAATGATTTAAACTCATGTCATGCAGGATCCTTTGAGGAATTTTGCTGTTCTGCACAGGTTCTTTATCTAAATTTATATAATTTGCTATGGTTTGAGCCTGTCTGATTGCAAATTGCAATAGTTCTGTCTTTTTATCACCATGTGCACTTAATGATGTGATAGATTTGAAAAACAGGATAGGGTTTTTGATTTAGTTTAATATTTAACAGTTCTATCAGTCCAAATATGTCGATGTAATGCGAAAATAATACATTTGAAGGATTTCAGCCAAACTGTGAAAATGTATCATTGAACTTACAGGAAAAGACAGAAATCCCAGCCTATTGGCCGGTATGTAGAGTGAGATTTATTTAAGAAAATTAAAAAAAAAAGGAAAGATGGAAATTAGATGGAAGAAGAACCTGGACTCAAATCATGTCCTGGTTGTGCTCTTGCAGGGATTCATCTTGTTTTCAGACCAAAAAACATGAGAACTAATGAAAGTCTGGCAGGAGAACAAAAAAATGTGACAACAACCAATGACAGCAAGTTGGAAAACACCCCAACAAAAGAAACAAACAGGCAAATAGTGGTCAGAGTGCCCTCAGTTTTGAGAGTCAGTAATAAAGTGAGCTAGCAGTCAAAGCAGCACCCAGTAAAGAATCTTTTTTTTACCATCTCAAAAAAAAAATGCATAATTTAGATGGTCTTATTTTCCTGTGCTGTTTTGTGGCTCTGCTTTTGTACAGTGAGGCTGCTGAACTATCCCACAGCAGTCAATATTATGAGTTGTAATCTCAAAGGTAGAACTGCTTCTTATACTGTTGGAAATAAGAATCTGAACAAAAAATACATCTAACATAACGTAGACACACTGGTATATGTATTCATGTGAAAACTTATGGGAAAAAAATATATTTATTCAACTTCAGTTGAGGTGCAGGAATCCTCACATCCACATCGCTGCCCACACTTCATGTCCCTCTGCTCTTCCTGTTCTTTGTCTGCCGCTCAGAAGATGGATCACGTCAATAATAGCAATTGCTTCTCTCTCCAACAACTAAAGTGCCCAGTTGGCTCCCGCTGTGGCATATTTTGTTTACTTGGCTGAAGTAGTGTGATGATCTACCTCCATCTTGTTCTCACCTCCAGGTTCTTGCTGCTGTCAGCGAGCCGCTTCAGACTTTCGGAAACCTGAAACTGTATTTTTTATGGGAACACGTAGTCAATAAACCTCCTCTGAATAAGAATGAATTTAGAATGAAGGAAAATTTGGCAGGCAGTCTGTTAACTGAAGGGGCATTAGTCTATAAGGGCTTCAATGTCCTTAGAACCAAGTAGTTTTATTTCCTCTGAAGGAAGGTCAGGGAGATTTGAATGATTGCTTCATATGATTTCCTCTTATTTACAAATTGTTCATGGGAGGAAAAGAAAACATGTAGATCAGGGGTCCTATAAAATACCTTACCCGCAAATGGATGAATAGACATTCTTAATAACTATTTGCTTTGTGGCTGTAGGTGCAGTCTTTTTCCCCTCAACCCTGCTCCAGCGTATCCAGTTCCATATTTCATCAGCAGGTGTCAAATTAAGCTTGCAGTGTTTCCTGTTCCTCCAGTTCAGACAAATTCGTTCCACAGAGAAACGGCAAACTTCAGGTTAGTGGATTCCGTTCTGCAACTGAGCAGTCAAGCTCAAGAAATTTTGTCAGAATATTAATATAGCAACGCATTTTCTGCTTTGATATGAGCAGCATAGCAGTAGACAGAAGTGTGCTCAAACTTTTTATTTATTTAAAACGAGACAAGTTCATTTCAAGCATCTATAGTATCTGCAGAAACTGCATTGGCTCATGTTACCACATATACACATGAGCTGCATAATTGGGATGAATAGAGGGTCTGTAGCCGCCCACAGTGCAGAGGCACCTCCTGTGGTAGACATGCTCACCAAGATGCTCCAGAAGCTTTGAGCTGCCAGAATGGTAAATGGAAAACGCATTTTCTACCGATACTTTTAGACTCAATCGCCTCAAAATCAATAGAGAAATGCATAAAGCATTTAGCTAGAATGTGTAGCATTTTCTGGAGTAGAAGGCCAAAGCAGCAGAGGATACCAGCAGGATCTTCCCGGAGCCGATAGACTTCCTGGAGTGTCATAAAGCGGCTCATCAGGCCAAAGTGGCCCAACCTGTTTATAACTTGATGACCGAAAGCTGCTGTTCCTACTATAATTCACATGCTTTTCCCATAGTGGCTCCTGTAAGTCATTCTAGGTGTGTTTATAAGTAATGAATACTCTTTTAATGTGTTTCAGTGAAAATCAGAAACCTCATGCAGCGAAAGGCAGATAGCAGAGGTGAGTGTCAAATTCGTCATAAAACCAGTGTGTCAAAATCATAGGATTGCTGCAATTACTCTAAATTTCACAAATTTTCTAGTATTTAAACCTGAAAATGTGACAAAGCAATTTTACCATCTTGTTCATAAATGATGGTGTCAAGGGACATTTTATTTTGACACTTTGGCATGAATATTTGCTTTTGAGAAATAGACTATCCATAAGTTTAGTTTCAGATGATTAATCTCTCCTATGCTTTGTAGCCCATAAATAAAAGTCAAAGTAAACCTAAAATAATTTTAGTC